AGGAGATGAGAGGAAAGGAAAAAGATGAGAGGAGAGGAAGAGGAGAGGAGAGTAAGGGAGCGGAAGGGAGGGGAGAGAGGGGAGGGGAAGAGAGGGGGGGGGAGAGGAGGGGAGACGAGAGGAGAGAAAAGATGAGAGGAGAGGAGAGAGAGAGGGGAGTAAAGGAAAATTTCGAGGAGAGGAAGGGAGAGGAGAGGAGAGAAAAGGGAAGGGAGGGGAGAGGAGAAGAAAGACAGAGGAGAGTAAAGGAAAATGTGAGGAAAGGAGATGAGAGGACAGGAGAGGAGAAGAGAGGAGAGGAGAGAAGAGAAAAAGGAAGTTTATACAGTATAAGGATGGGTAAGGTGAAGAAGAGGAAAAGGAAAGGAAGTAGAGGAAAAGTAATACAGAGAAGGGAGATGGGAGAAAGAAAAGGTAAGGGGGAAAGGAACAGGAGAGGAAAGATGGGGGAAAAGTGGAAGAAATGAGATGAAGGAGAGGAAAGGGAAGGGAAGGACAGAGAAAAGGAACAGAAAGGAAAGTGAAGAGGAAAGGGAGAGAAGAGAAAAGGAAAGCAAAGGTGTTAAAAGGAAAAAGAAAAGGAAAGCAAAGGAGTACAAAGAAAAGGTAAGAGGAAAGGAGAAAGGACAGTAAAGGGCAGAAGAGGAGAGAAAGTAAAGTAAAAGGAAGACAAGTGACGGGATATAAAGCAAAGAAGGAAGGTAGGAAAGGAAGATGGATCTGCTCGGATCCTGGAGGTGACTACATTGATGATTCCTCTGGCATGGTATTAAACATTTCTGACTTTTGTACTCATTTTCCAGTATTATAAGTGGAGTCACTTTTCCCTGCCATCCCCTGATCTCAGCATTTTCCATGGCACATAAACCACTTCTTCTGAATATACAGCACCATTTATCTCTAGCTCCGTACTCCGGGTGATTGGCTGTAATCATTCTCATTGCTACAATGGGGTGGAAATATTCCTTCACTAAAGACTCTATGAAATGGTTAAGCTTGGCTCATTATTGCAAATCTATAAAAGTCTGAATTGTGATATCATCCGGCCTGTTAAGCTGCCTGACCTTTTCCAGCACAGAAAACATTGATTTAAGGTTATAAACATTAACAATCGGCGTACAATTCCACCATTAATGGAGCCGTACGGATGTGGCTCAACTCTTCCATTGCCAGGAATATCAGAATTCAATGACAATTTTCTTTCATCGAGTATAATGTTCATTCCTGCATTTAACAGCTAAAACTAATTTTTCGGTTTGTGGGATGAAAATGTTTCCAAACTCCATCCACCCCAATATGTAATCAGCAATCCATGGAAGGGAGGTCGGTAATGAGGTTGGACTCTCTATATAGGACACCCTATCCCCAATGTAGATCGATAATGCTGATCTTACCACCCCAGCCATTACACCCATCACAGAGAGAGGATGGAGGAGTATGGCTGTGGAATGGGTGAAGCCTCCTGGAGGACTCTAAGACTAGTTCCCCATCAGGTCCATTACTCTTGTGATTGACAGCGGGTGGCAGTGGTTGGATTCCATAGCTGATATTCAGCCCAATAGCAGCTTTGGAAACCATCCACTTGCCATCTGCTGACATTCACAAGGGTGATGGTCCTGATGGGGAATGTTGTGTGCTGTAACCGAGGACTCCATCCTGACTATCACGGAAGCATGCATCAACCATCCGCACTGACTAACGTCCTTATTTATGGCCTCGCGCACACTGAAGCCGTCAAACACCCCTTTTACTGGTCTTTGATCCTTTTTTTTTCCTGCCCCCTATCCCTGTGAGTAGGTATTGCTGTATCACGCATTTCACAGAGCCTGCCTCCTGAGAGGAGGAGTCCCAGGAGGTGGCGTCAGTACAGGAATCAGCAAGGTGCCATGGGATATGTAGTCCTCAGAAATGAAGGAGAAGCTGCAAAGCATGTTGGGAATCCTGGAAGTTGTGGAGATTTTTCAAGTCATCTTATATTGGATTGTCAGATATAACTGTTGTTTGTATTGTTGTTACAATTCTGAGGTTCTGGAATGAAACTGTATGCTGTGACCAGAGATTTCCTTCAATGTAGTTTTTAACCTCTTCGTGCCGGCCACATGCAAATGTGCGGCCTCCTGGCGTCTGGGCCTTGACGCCGAGCGGCCGCACATTTGCATGCAATCAAGAAAAAACATATATGCTGAGATCGCGCACCCTGTGCGCTCCCAGCACACATGTCCGGTACTCACTTCTCTTTCGATCGGGACCTTTCCCAATCATGTGACCGCTGTGACAGCGAATCACGGTGGTCACATGACCCTAAAACCCGGCCCCGCTTTTGAAACCCTTAAAGGGCCGGGATGCGCCACCACCAAGTGGTTAAAGATGCAGGGAGGGGGTGAAAGTGTCCGGTATTGAAGTGGTTAAAGCGGATCTGCACCTGAACCACCCTGTTTTTTTTTTCACCCTTGTTCACCTTTAGGTGGTATCTGCAGATTTCAGCTACTCACCCATCCAGTGGATCCAGCGTTGTCCTGCTGAGCTCCTCTCATGGCCACAGCTCTGTCCAGCGCAGCCATGTTCTTCCTGATTCAGTGGACGGGTCTCTCATTGACCCGCCGAAAGGCCCACCCCCTCCCTCCTTTCCTCTATTGCGTGCTATTTCTCTATGGAAGGCTCTATTTATTAATTTATTTATTTCAGGTACTTATATAGCTATATCATTACTTTTATTTCAGGAACTAACATAGTGTCGTCAATGTATCCAGCACTTTACATATATATTGTACGTTCACATCAGTCCCTAACCCTCAAGGGGTGTATAATCTAAGGTCCCTAACTCACATTCATACATACACATACTAGGGCCAATTTAGACAGGATCCACTTCACCTACCAGCATGTCTTTGGAGTGTGGGAGGAAACCCACACAGGCACAGGGGAGAACATGCAAACTACAGGCAGGTGGTGCCGTGGTTGGGATTTGAACCAACAACCCAGGCGGAAGTGCTAACCACTTAGCCACTGTACTGCCCTTAGTCTTCATAGGGCCAATTTACACAGGATCCAATTATCCTACCAGCATGTCTTTGGAGTTTGGGAGGAAACTGGAGTACACGAAGGAAACCCACGCAGGCACAGGGAGAACATGCAAACTCCAGACAGATGGTGCTGTGGCTGGGATCATATGTGTGACATATATGTGACATGCACAGGGACGGACTGACAACTCATGGGGCACCCGGGCAATAGGAGATCATGGGGCCCCTGTGCCCAAACTCAAAAAAGCCTATGAAAAAGGTACAAGGGGCTTCTCATGGGGCCCTATACTGACCCCGGGCCTTCGGGCAGTGCCCGAGTTTCCAAAATGGTCAGTCCGCCCCTGGACATGCATATCCCAAGAGGGACAGCGGGCAGTGTGCACATCATTCCCCTAAGGCGAATGAGGTGCATGTGGAGGCGGAGCCAGACATTTTTTATAAAAAAAGGTAAACAAAAAGAAAAAAAAAACATTGCAATACATGTTGAGTGGAGGAGGAGAGGTGGAGTGGAGGGAAGCAGTGGAAGAGGGTGAAAGTCCTGAAACTTTTCTTGTACCGAGGATGTCAGGCTTCATGTACACGAGCAACTGCTAAACTCGAGTTCAGGAGCTTTTGGCATTATTTTGCCGAAGCTCCTAAACTCAACTCCATAAGACCTCAGTAACACTGGGTGCGACTTGGCATGCGATTTGCATGCCATGCGACTTGCAAATTGCATGCCAAGTCGCCCCCTACTGTTCGCAATTACAGCGGTCATATTGGTGCGGTTCCGACTTGGTCGGAGCCGCACCTTGGATCCCTATACATATTCAGGCTGTTTAGTCTGTTCTTCCTCCCACTATAATTCTAGAATCCTCTAGAATACAGGGGGAAGAAATCAGAGCAGCAGCCTGTGGGACACTGAGCAGCCCTGAACAATCAACTGTTGCTCCACTGATTACAACTCAATTTACCAGAAACCTTCACTAATCTATGAGGGTGCTACATGTGAAAGGGTGAACTTATATTTTAGGTGAAATTTATTTTTTAATGAAACGACCTCCCATAGAGGTAAATAGAGGGGACCAGGGGTTGGGGGGGGGGGGGGGGGGGGAGTGTTTGATGGGGAGGGTGTTAATTTACCTTTTCATTTTTTTGTGAAAAGGTGAACTTACACTTGAAGTCACTCCGCTCATCCCTAGTAGGAACCACTGAGAAGAGATCTTAGGGCCAGCGTCCCCAAGTGATGCCCAATACTAGTAGGTGCCAATAACTGAAATATCACCTTTGAGTTGACTGGCCCCTTAATTAGGTTTTGGGAATCCCAAAAGGCAAATGCTGGGATCAATCCCTTGTTTATTTATTATTACTTTTAGTTCAGGTACTTATATGGTGTCGTCAATGTACCCGGCGCTTTACATATGTAATGTACATTCACATCAGTCCCTAACCCCCAAGGGGCATACAGTCTAATGTCTCTAACTCACATTCATGCATACACATACTATGGACAATTTAGACAGGATCCAATTCACCTACCAGCATGTCTTTGGAGTGTGGGAGGAAACCCACACAGGCACAGGGAGAACATGCAAACTACAGGCAGGTGGTGCCGTGGTTGGGATTTGAACCAACAACCCAGGCGGAAGTGCTAACCACTTAGCCACTGTACTGCCCTTAGTCTTCAGCCTCATAGTTCTGGACCATAGTACAAGGTGTGACAAATTAATTCCCGGAATGCCCGCAGCATAGCCTCATGGTGGTGAGTCACACAGCCAATCGCACTCTAGCGTATTGTGACATGTTCTAACTCACACTCTCCTGGGTCACAGACAGTTGATTAACCACTTATATATATTATATCCAGGTCAGGTATATCTAGTAGTAGTTGGTCACATTTATCTGGACTTGTTCTGTAATGTTAAAGTCATTGCAAAGCTGCTCCATGCCACTTCTTCAGTTCTAATGAGTCATTTCAGTCAAATCGTTAAAGTACTGTCAAGCCAGATGTTGGTTGTCCAAAAACAGGATGGGAGGCATGCCTTTAGTGGAACCCCTCCCCCCCTTCCCCATTCTAGTTACATAATCCACATGTAAACTGGAATATAAAAGCATGTTGGTGGTGATCCCCCAAGACACAATGGGACTTTGATGGCGGTGAGGACGATTCTCCATCCTCTCAGATAAAATATATTCTTTCTTCGACTCGTCTGCAGACTCCTGCAACGACGGGTCGTTTTTTAGGGCTGCGTCGGCGCTCTCAGCAAATTCCGTGCCTTTGGCCTCGTTGGTGAAATAAGTCCCCTGGTGTCTACATGTGTAACGGAGCACCACGACGATGAGGATCACGAGGACCGCGATCACAGCGATGACGACACCTAAAAAAGGGGACATAGATAGGATTTCAAGCTAAGCTCCAGGTATACAGCTACTGTATATACACAGATAAAATATAGATACAGCTGTGATTCAAACATTTCCCTTCCCTGGCAGAAATGGTGACATTTTGGCATTGATATTGAAAATATGATGGATCGTGCCTAAAATCTGTATTTTATTTAACCACTTCATGTCCGGACACTTTCCCCCCCTTCCAGTCCGGACACTTTCACCCCCTTCCAGTCCGGACACTTTCACCCCCTTCCAGTCCGGACACTTTTCCCCCCTTCCAGTCCGGACACTTTCCCCCCCTTCCAGTGTCCGGACACTTTCCCCTCCTTCCAGTCCGGACACTTTCCCCCCCCCCTTCCAGTCCGGACACTTTCCCCCCCTTCCAGTCCGGACACTTTCCCCCCTTCCAGTCCAAACCTTCACCCCCTTCCAGTCCGGACACTTTCCCCCCCCCTTCCAGTCCGGACACTCCCCCCCTTCCAGTCCGGACACTTTCCCCTCCTTCAGTCCGGACACTCCCCCCCCCTTCCAGTCCGGACACCCCCCCCCTTCCAGTCCGGACACTTTCCCCTCCTTCCAGTCCGGACACTTTCCCCCCTTCCAGTCCAGACACTTTCCCCTCCTTCCAGTGGACACTTTTACCCTCTTCCAGTCTGGACACTTTCCCCTCCTTCCAGTCCGGACACTTTCCCCCCCTTCCAGTCCTGGACACTTTCCCCTCCTTCCAGTCCGGACACTTTCCCCTCCTTCCAGTCCGGACACTTTCCCCCCCTTCCAGTCCGGACACTTTCCCCTCCTTCCAGTCCGGACACTTTCCCCTCCTTCCAGTCCGGACACTTTCCCCTCCTTCCAGTCCGGACACTTCCCTCCCCTTCCAGTCCGGACACTTTCCCCTCCTTCCAATCCGGACACTTTCCCCCCCCTTCCAGTCCGGACACTTTCCCCCCCTTCCAGTCCGGACACTTTTACCCCCTTCCAGTCTGGACACTTTCCCCCGGACACTTTCACTTCCTTCCAATCCGGACACTTTTACCCCCTTCCAGTCCGGACACTTTCCCCCCTTCCAGTCCAGACACTTTCCCTTCCTTCCAGTCCGGACACTTTCCCCTCCTTCCAGTCCGGACACTTTCCCCCCTTTCCAGTCCGGACACTTTCCCCTCCTTCCACTCCGGACACTTTTACCCCCTTCCAGTCCGGACACTTTCCCCTCCTTCCAGTCCGGACACTTTCCCCTCCTTCCAGTCCGGACACTTTCCCCCCCTTCCAGTCCGGACACTTTCCCCCCCTTCCAGTCCGGACACTTTCCCCCCCCCTTCCAGTCTGGACACTTTCCCCTCCTTCCAGTCCGGACACTTTCCCCCCCTTCCAGTCCAGACACTTTCCCCTCCTTCCTGTCTGGACATTTTTACCCCCTTCCAGTCTGGACACTTTCCCCCCCTTCCAGTCCGGACACTTTCCCCCCTTCCAGTCCGGACACTTTCCCCTCCTTCCAGTCCGGACACTTTCCCCCCCTTCCAGTCCGGACACTTTCCCCCCCTTCCAGTCCGGACACTTTCCCCCCCTTCCAGTCCGGACACTTTCCCCCCTTCCAGTCCGGACACTTTCCCCCCTTCCAGTCCGGACACTTTCCCCCCCTTCCAGTCCGGACACTTTCCCCTCCTTCCCCATTTTTACCCCCTTCCAGTCCAGACACTTTCCCCCTCCTTCCAGTCCGGACACTTTCCCCCCCTTCCAGTCCGGACACTTTCCCCCCTTCCAGTCCGGACACTTTCCCCCCCTTCCAGTCCAGACACTTTCCCCTCCTTCCTGTCCGGACATTTTTACCCCCTTCCAGTCCGGACACTTTCCCCCCCTTCCAGTCTGGACACTTTCCCCTCCTTCCAGTCCCCTTTCCCCCCCTTCCAGTCCAGACACTTTCCCCTCCTTCCTGTCCGGACACTTTCCCCCCCTTCCAGTCTGGACACTTTCACCCCCTTCCAGTCCGGACACTTTTACCCCCTTCCAGTCCGGACACTTTTACCCCCTTTACCCCCTTCCAGTCCGGACACTTTTACCCCCTTTCTGTCCAGGCCAATTTTCAGCTTTCAGTGCTATCACACTTTGAATGACAACACTGTACCCATATGACATTTTTATCATTTTTGAGATAGATAAAACTTTATTTTGGTGGTATTTACTCACCACCGGGATTTTTATTTTTTTGCTATATAAATTAAAAAGTCCAAAAATGTTGAAAAAAAGTGTTTTTCTTATAACATTTTGCAAATAAATAAACTTTCTTCATAAATCTTGGCCAACATTTATTCAATTATCTTTTTAGTGAAAACAAATAACCCAAATTAGTTTATAACCCAAAATTATAATTTTTTAAAAAACATTTTCCACATTTTTATTTTATTTTTTTATATATATACAGTGGAGCAAAAAAGTATTTAGTCACCACAATTGTGCAAGTTCTCCCAATTAAAAAGATGAGAGAGGCCTGTAATTGGCATCATAGGTAGACCTCAACTATGAGAGACAAAATGAGAAAAAAAAATCCAGACAATCACATTGGCTGATTTGGAAAGAATTATTTGTAAATTATGGTGGAAAATAAGTATTTGGTCACCTACAAACAAGCAAGATTTCTGGCTCTCACAGACCTGTACCTTCTTCTTTAAGAGGCTCCTCTGTCCTGCACTCATTACCTGTATCAATGGCACCTGTTTGAACTTGTTATCAGTATAAAAGACACCTGTCCACAACCTCAAACAGTCACACTCCAAACACCACTATGGTAAAGACCAAAAGCTGTCGAAGGACACCAGAAACAAAATTGTAGACCTGCACCAGGCTGGGAAGACTGAATCTCCAATAGGCAAGCAGCTTGGTGTGAACAAATCAACTGTGGGAGCAATAATTAGAAAATGGAAGACATACAAGACCACTGATAATCTCCCTCGATCTGGGGCTCCATGCAAGATCTCACCCTGTGGGGTCAAAATGATCACAACAACAGTGAGCAAAAATCCCAGGACCACACGGGGGGGACCTAGTGAATGACCTGCAGAGAGCTGGGACCAACGTAACAATGGCTACCATCAGTAACACACTACGTTGCCAGGGACTCAGATCCTGCAGTGCCAGACGTGTCCCCCTGCTTAAGCCAGTACATGTCCGGGTCTGTCTGAAGTTTGCTAGAGAGCATTTGGATGATCCAGAAGAGGATTGGGAGAATGTCATATGGTCAGATGAAACCAAAATAGAACTGTTTGGTAGAAACATAACTCGTCGTGTTTGGAGGAGAGAGAATGCTGAGTTGCATCCAAAGAACACCATACCTACTGTGAAGCATGGGGGTGGCAACATCATGCTTTGGGGCTGTTTCTCCGCAAAGGGACCAGGATGACTGATCCATGTACAGGATAGAATGAATGGGGCCATGTATCGTGAGATTTTGAGTGCAAACCTCCTTCCATCAGCAAGGGCATTGAAGATGAAACGTGGCTGGGTCTTCCAACATGACAATGATCCTAAACATACCGCCCGGGCACGAAGGAGTGGCTTCTTAAGAAGCATTTCAAGGTCATGGAGTGGACATGAACTTTCGATATTCACCAAATACTTACTTTTTGCACCATAATTTGCAAATAAATTCTTTCCAAATCAGCCAATGTGATTGTCTGGATTTTTTTTTTCTCTCTTTGTCTCTCATAGTTGAGGTCTCCCTATGATGCCAATTACAGGCCTCTCTCATCTTTTTATGTGGGAGAACTTGCACAATTGGTGGCTGACTAAATACTTTTTTTTCCCCACTGTATATATATTTTTTAACATACTGTCACCCTAGCAGTACAGTGTCACCATAGTGACACTGCACTACTTGTGGGGGGTGATGAATATTTATTTTTTTACACTGATTGCTTTTACACCCATAAAGGCTGTAAAAGCAATCACTTCTTCCCTCTGGCTGCATTCTTGCAGCCATTGAAAAATACTCTGTGAGCTGTGATTGGTCGCAACTTGTCACATGGTACAAGGCTGTTGTGTGAGAAGGGGGTACCACCAGTTCTCCTGGATGGGGCCCAGGCAGCAGGGAGAATTGGATGTGGGCAGGGAGGGTGACCGGTATGCGGGGAGGGGGGCAATTACGGGAACTGATCCTCTGTGTATAGTATCTCCCAGAAGTGAGTCCACCCCTCCCCTGGACTGTATACAATGCTTGAAGTCCAGTGTGAAGTTTCCACAGTCTGTGTTGATTTGGGGAGCCATGTCATCTGCTGGTGTTGGTCCACTGTGCTTCATTAAGTCCAGGGTCACCGCAGCCGTCTACCAGGAGATTTTGGAGCACTTCATGCTTCCTTCCACAGATGAGCTTTATGGGGATGCTGACTTCATTTTCCAGCAGGACTTGGCACCGCCCACACTACCAAACCACCAAAACCTGGTTCAATGACCGTGGGATTACTGTGCTTGATTGGCCAGCAAACTCGCCTGACCTGAACCCCATAGAGAATCTATGGGGCATTGCCAAGAGAAAGATGAGAGACATCAGACCAAACAATGCAGAAGAGCTGAAGGCCGCTATTGAAGCATCCTGGTCTTCCATAACACCTCAGCAGTGCCACAGGCTGATAGCTTCCATGCCACACCGCATTGAGGCAGTAATTGCTGCAAAAGGGGCCCAAACCAAGTACTGAGTACATATGCAGCTTCTACTTTTCAGAGGTCCGATATTGTTCTATGTACAATCCGTGTTTTATTGATTGCATGGAATATTCTCATTTTCTGAGATTGTGGATTTGGGGTTTTCATGAGCTGTAAGCCATAATCATCACAATGATGACAAATCACGGCTTGAACTATCTTGCTTTGCATGTAAATGAGTCTCATATATTAGTTTCACCTTTTAAGTTGCTGCACTGAAATAAATGAACTTTTGCACCATATTCTCATTTTTCGAGTTTCACCTGTATTTCTTCAGTGTTGTCATATGAAAAGAGAGATTCAAATATTTACAT